CAATTTAAAATCAGTTGCTTATTTTTCTCCCCCTGATATTTGAAAGATTGATTTGTTGAAATAACAATGTCAACAAATATCATATAATTGATTCTAATCTCATCAACATAATGGAGACTTCTTGCTCAACATTAACTTCCAATATCCTTTCAGAACCCATCTTTGTAAAATGTCGTAGAACAATTTAGAACATGCAATTCACTTAAATAAATTTTAAGAGAATTTGATGGTTCTTGCCATAAACCAATTTGTACAGGGGTTTAGTAGTGACATCTTTCTGGCGTGATGCTAAATCGATGCTGCTACATGTAGCTTGCATGTTTTTTAATAAGTGGTTCACATGTATATGCACAAGCATGTGCTACATGATGTTTGATATCGAACCCAATAATAGATGTAAAACCACCAGTATTCATCAAGAAGTATTTTCTTCATATTGAGCATTCATTCATATATGCCCATAAGTGAATCAATTGTGCAACCAATCATGCAAACTTCAGGTTGCAAGTGGAGTGATCATATAGACGATGCATCGATTAAAACCATAAAATAACTAAATGATCCATATGGTGCATTGATCAAATAATTTCATACTGTATATACTAATCTCTTCTTACTTGCATTGGTGAACACGAAAGTAGCAGAAGAAAAATCTTCATTGTGAAATTTTTGAAAATATTATCATAAAAGATTTTCATGAATCCTCGATTAGCGCAACCGGTCATGCCAAGCAATCAATTTACAACAAACATAAACTTCAGGTTTATGGTTCGTTGCTTTACCTTTTGCTTCAGAAAAAGGATTAACTGCTAGTAGTAATTCAACACAATAACATTTATTATGCAATACGTTAAGAATAAGGATAACAAAAGAGGACGCGGTCGAAGTGGTACAGCTCTTTGTCCTCAACTGGAACGTTGTAGGTTCAGGCCCCATTGACGCCAGGTTTCAAACCCTAAAGATTCTTTTAATAAACCACACACTATATATGGTAGATATGCTTCTTGCATTTTATGTGGGTTATGTTTACGACATATTACCCTACCAATAGAAAACTGTTGGATACAACATATAATGCAATATCTCAGCATTGTCGCCTGGTAATTTTGATATGCTTCTGGCATTTTGTAGGTACTGTCGACCGACATATTACCCTATCTCTTTTGTTTTTTTTCCAAAAGTTCAAACCAAAATCTTCTCAATATTATCCAAAATCTACCACATCAACATCCTTATCTTATCCCCTTTTTCGGCTATAAAACAAAAACCTTCCTCCTTTTCGTTTCATTACTCAAACCAAAAAATCATACATAATCTCTCAATTCCATCATTCTTCTTCCCTTCTTGGGAACTCTCTCCTTATAAGTCGCTTCAGGGATCTTATCAAGTTAGAGTGAAGCAATGAGTGAAGAAATATCTCCCAAAGAGATCATAGATGGATTGATTTTATTTTACTTTGTGGCAATTCTCTTTTTAATTGGACGCTCTTTTCAAATGTAAGATCCTGATCGAAAACTCTTTCTCGAGAAACTAAAGCGTCAGGATCGTAACATGATTAGATTTCTCTTGTTTAATCCATGTTTGGTAGTATGAAAAGGAGACCTAGATCTCTTATCATGTATGATGTATGAATGTTACGAACAAAGTGAAGTTTAAGTACTTCCTTTTCTCATTAAATACAAACTTTACTTCCGGAAAGTTTGTGTTATATACTATATTCATCATCATTTTGGAGTCAAGTCGTAATTTGACCATCAACTTCATTGGATTGCCTTATGAGTAAAACTCCATAAATCATTATATCAAATGGGCATATAATTAAATCCGGTGGATTCCATTTTGGATAAGCCCTTAAGCAATTTGCTATAAAAATCTTCAAGATATGGTCATCTCATGTGATACTTCTTGATATAAATCAATGTGATTTCGATCTATACTGGGTATGGTAAATGATTGACGTACAACAGGTACGATAAATGACCAATGTCCTTATCCCTTTTGATAAAAATCAATGAACATATATATTTTTTTTTATGTACGACTGGTACGATGACTTCTATGCCTTTTTCAATAATTGATAATTAACATTCATCTTTTGGTGAATATTATTATGGTTGGATTCTATAACCATTTTACCAATCCACATTCATACATAAAATCATAGACATATATATGCAAATTATATATATGGTGAATGTATGGCCACGATATCTTTTTAATTATATGAAATATTTAATGATCTAGGGTAAACATATATCTTTGTATATATAGCCAATGCATTTATTTTAGATCAGCATGCATGTGGGAAGAATTGTTATAACATAATTTGAGAATTATCATTCAAAAGAGGGAAAATAATATGGGAGTTGTATACTGACTAAATGGATGCGATCGCGTCAAAAGTAACTCCTGACCACTATTGATGAAGTTACTCTCTCCGATAAATGGATGAATAAAATCTCTTGATATTCTGGTGGTTAATACTCGATCTCTCACTGGTGGAAATTTCTGTTTTTGTATCTATGTAGATCGACAGGATCTTAGGCGGGCTTCATGACTTCATGTCAATGGTATATTTTTCAAATTTACTTGATTTTGAGTACATAAAACAATCTTGATAATAGTAAAACCATCCACTTTTGAAATTGCCTCAGATCGACTGGATCTTGAAAGTAGAAATATTGTGCTAATGGTAAAAAGTTGCTTTTTTCCAGAATTTGCTTAGATCGACAGGATCTTGAGCACGTAGAACATTCATGCTGATAACGTGTTATAAATAATTATTCCGGAGATGGATAAACAACACCATTAACACGAAGTATGCTGATATCGTGCTGATAACGTGTTATAATAATTATTACGGAGATGGATAAACACAACCATTAACACGAAGTAGAGGAGAAAGAGTAACACCGCTTTTATTCCATACTATAGAAAGCATAGTACACCAATACAACATGTGGAATAGATAGACAGAAGATAATGGGAGCTTGTTGTTGTGTATCTTTCCTTCTTCAATAGCTTTCCTTTCATAGGCACTGAGTGTAGAGTCCCAATTAATTAAGATGGGAAGAAGGTGGCAGTTGCGGTATGTGGGCAATTGACATCCACATATATATTCATAATATGAAACACTAATATTAAAATTTCTCAGTACAAAATAATGATGTCTTTCAAATATGGAACAAAAAATAATAACCTTTTTTTTTAACTTATAGGTAACTTGTCCATTCTCCCAGAAATAGTAGCATGTGTACTGGAGCTTCCTTGCTGCTCAGCTTGTTGTGGTAATGGATTATTACTGTGGAATTCTTTTCAAACCCATACTCACGACATACGGAACATCTCAGCTTCACTCTTTTCCTGCTCAGTCTACGTTTTCCATTCTTATTTGTGTTTTCCAACTCAACACTCTCCTTCCTCTTTTGTTTAGGCTTTCTTCCCTTTTTCATCTTTCTTTCTTTAGTTATAGGAGGTGGTTGAATGGGATCCCTACCACTATCTTCCTACATATTATTGCTATTGGTAAGATGAACAAAATGGTGATAAACTTCTTTGTAGGTATCAACAATATACCAACTACCCACATAATTTTCTGGATGTTCGTCCGCCTCCCAATTTGCACATATAGAATGCTTGCAAGGAATATCAGAAAGCTGTCATTTTCTGCATGCACAAGTCTTTTCAACAAGATTAACCACCACTTGTCCATTAAAGGACCTAACTTGGTATTGATTCTCTCCATCATAAGTAGCTGTACAACCCTTTGCTGCTTATTCTTTTAGCTTTTCCAATTTTGTTTGTATTTTGGGACAAATTCAACCCGTCATCTTATCACCAACTTTGTTTTTCACATGCATACGTCTCATTAGCATGCATCTAATGGCCTCAACACATGGAGATAATGGGTTGGCACCTTGCATCTAGTAGGCAACGATTAAAAGACTCACAGAGATTGTTGAGAAGCATGTCACACCCGCATAGAACTTGAAAATGGTTTCTTGACCACTATCTAAAAGGTCTATCATGCAACCAATTCTTTGCCTTCTCACTTTGCCTCCAAATCTCTTGCATCCACCTCTTGAATTCACTTGTAGTAGTAGCTCGTGCTGCCTTCCAAAGCAAGTCTTTCAGTAACAAGTCACTGGAAACATGTTTCCGAAAGTTTGTATACATGTGGCGTACACAAAATCGATGCTCCACGTCAAACAACTCATCATTTAAGGCTTCAATTAGCCCCTACAAGTAATTGTAAATTCAAATATTAGAAAGAATAAAAGACATCAAACAAGAGAGATAACATCTATGTTATTGATAATTATTAATCTTAATTACCTTCTGTCGATCAGACATAAAGCACCATTTGAGACTATTTTCCACTTCAAGATCTTCAACCAATTTTCTAATAAACCATTGCCAATTATCTCTATTTTCCTTCTTCACCAAGGCAAATGCAATCATTAGGATCAATACCAATAGCTATTAGTAATTGTCCCCCAATATCGGTTTTGATAAAACAACCATCGATGGATATGAACCTTCTACATCCTGCCTTAAATCCATCTTTGCATCCTTGCAAGCACATATACATCCTCTAAAAAATAACTCCAAATTGCTAAATGATCATAGTGGATCCTGGGGTTGTCCTTCGAATCTCACATGCATAATCATATAATTTCTTGTATTGATATTTCTCTTGCCCACCTAGTAGTACCCAAGCCTCATGTCTACACCTTAGAGCTTTAGGCAGGCTTATGGTTAGCATCAAATCTTCCTTAACAGTTTGGAGTAGAAGGGGATAAGACCATGCATGATAAACTCTAAACCTCTCCAGGTACTTCTTTGCTATCCACTTGGCCGTGAGGAATATGATATTGTACATTTTCTGCAATGCTCACTATGATTTAAACAACATGTCTTGATTTGAGGTGTCTTCTCACTAGACATGTAGCAGACCCATATTTCCCATGGACAACCATATTGACAAACTGCATGGACCCTCAACTTGTCATTATGCTTAAACCCATGTTTCTTTTATGTCTTATTGCATAATGCTTTGCTGCCTCCTTGAATTCATCAAACGATTTAAACTTGAGACCATCAAAAAATACTGGATCATCCATATTTTCTTCTACATTGAACTCGGGAAATCCCTCTTTCATTTCACTTCCATTCTCAACCACATGAGTTAGCTCCCCGTCACCATCATAAGCAATATCATCATCAAAAGCAATGGGTGATTTTGGATTTGAAGCATCTTCCATTTCAAAATCAAATCCATTTCCAGCTTCTGCTTCTTCATCGACATAATTATCATATATCAAATCATCTTCCTTATCCATCAAATCATAATCGCTATCCTCAAAACATACCTCAAAATCAGAACTCTCATCATTGCTTTCAGATAATGCACTGTCTGCAAATTCATTTGCCAAATCTCTGGTTGTATGCTTCTTTGAGTTCCTTGTCATATTCCCACTTCCAATAGAATTTTCATTGACACCTACATAAAACAATAGTTGGCTTGTTGTTACTAAAGACAAAAATATACAAGAAGACAAAGCATAACATAGAAAAAGAAAAAAAAAATTAAAAGTAGCTCATGGAAAACCCCAACCTCCTCTTGCTACTGTCACTACTACATGTCCCGTACAAAAAAAAACCCACTATCTCTTTAGATGGTCCATGGGAAACCCCATTCACCTTCTCTTTTTGGTTATGTTTCTTTCTCTCTTTTCTTCTCCCTAGAGATGACAGTGAGCAGACCCCTTCAATCCCAATTCCCACATACATAAACCCATACATAAATTCATCTTCTAGCCTAGGAAATACGCAGGACAATTGAAGATATATTCCTGGATACATAGGCGCCTCGCCGGCCTTCATAGCACTCCTATGACTTACCCCACACAAAAACCCTAAGAAAATAGAACTCCAGCGATTACTTACCATGATCAAGATTCCCTCTCTGGCTTCTTTTTGTTGGATTGTCTGGCGGCATTGCAGTGGAGAGTAGATGGCTTATCAATGATTGTTCTGGTCTCACTTAGAAGAGAACGTGGTTTTTGGAAGAAGATGAACAACAACTCTTGGGGAAGATGAACAGCGGGGATATGGAGGTTAATTGATTAGGGGAAGAAAGCAAGGGTTCCAGTTTTTTTCTTTTGTGGGTAGAGTTTTGTTAAGGAATTAAACTACTTACGTGGAATAATAGTGATCAGGTGTCGCCATGTCATCACCGTTAGCGCTCTGTCAGCACCATTAAGATGGCTTCCGTTAAATTCGAACGACAGTGATGGATGATGACCTTTTGTTGATGCTGGGGTTGTTACCGACGTCAGATTCCTTGTTAGAGGCACCAATAGGGGCTTCAAATCACCTTACACCGCAATCCTTGTTCGTGATGCCAAATCCCACCACCTCATGTAAAAGGTTTGTCGGTGGATCTCGGCGAGGACACGTTCCGACGCTTAAGTCAGTATCGAGTGATAAGTTGAGGGGAAGAATGAAATTAAAGATGTAGAGTAGGAGAGGAGGGTCTGGGCGAGCGATAGATCCGGTCGCTAATAGTAGTAGACTCTTTAAGGGAGCTCACCGAGCCTTTTTTGCGTACCTTTACCGGAAGACGAGATGCACCTTTTGTAGTGGACGTCCGGGGGACAACGAAGGACACGCAGCGGCGGCAATGTTATTGGGTTGACTCGTTAGAGGAGTAGGTGTCATCACCTCATGCGTCCGCTCGTCACGTGTCATGCTTTCTCGTGCCACGTTTAGGCGCTCACGCCATGTGGCAGGTCATGTCCCAATAAGGGTGCAAAGTAAGGGAGAAGACCAGAGTGAGTGAACGCATGGGAGCCGTGAGCGCCGAGGGTGGTAAGCATTGTACGCAAAGGGTGGAGAGTTCCAAGACGGTGAGACCGATGAGAGCCGTGGGCGGAAAAACCGTGGGAGCCATGGGCGGTGAGCGCCGTGACCGGAGAGCACCATGGGCGGCGACACAGGTGAGTGTCATCGACGATGAGCGCCAAGACAGTGAGACCGATGAGCACCGTGGCAGCGAGATTGATGGGAGCCATCGGCGATAAGAACCGTGGGTGGCGAGACCGGTGAGCGTTGCGAGCGGCAAGCGCCATCGAAGATGAGCCCCGAGGATAGTGAGCGTCGTCGGCGATGAGACTAGTGAGCATCATTGACGACGAGACTGGTGAGCGTCATGGGTGACAAGACTGGTAAGAGTCGTCAGCGATGAGCTCCGTGGGCGGCGAGACGAGTGAGTGCCATGGGTGACGAGCGTCGTCAACAATGAGCACCGATGTTAGCGTTTAACGGATTCTCTGGTGATTCAGACAGTTTTCGATGGGAGATTGTCTACCCCCGGTCTGCGGGGTGTGCAGAAGGGAGAGAGATCTTGGAAGACCGTGCTCATTTTGGTATGCGTGAGAGGCTAGGAGGTTGTCCCCTTTAGGATTTTGGTATATGTGAGAGGCTAGGAGGTTGTACCTCCTCTTAACTTTTGCCCCCCAACATTCATTTTGCCTATATAGGGCCTCCTTCTTTACTTCTTCATTTCACACTCCCTTTCTTTCTTTGTTTTGTGGGAATCTAGGACGTGGGGGGAGGCGGTGAGAGAGGAGCTACCTAGGCGGTGTCGTGAAGCTAAAGGTCCGACTACATCAGGTATGTTATTCTGCCCTCGTCGGATTTCCTTAGCTTAATTGTGCGTGGGGGTAGGAGGACTTAGTTCCCCCTTTATTTTCATCGTATGTTAGTAGATGGCTTGTCGGCGAACAACTTCGAGTTGGGGGTCTTCAAGGGAAAGAAGGTGCCCTCGGAGGGGGCCGAGGTGACATCGCAGGAAGAGATGCCCGCGCCGGTTCAGGTGTTGCCCACGCCGAGATGAGAGAGGTCGGTGTCCACACCAATGATGAACGCTGCTAGATGGGATGTGGGGCCGACCGAACCAGCATGATCTTACGCAGGGTCCACCCCACCCTCGGGGCATGATGCTTGTGCATGGGCACCAGATCCATTCACTACGTACATGCCAAGAGGTTCGGCGGGGGGCAACGAGTCTATCGAACATCAGAGGTGAGGTCCTAGGGCAATGAGCGATAGGCACCGGTCTCATGGGAAAGCCGTGGCGGGAATTGTAGCCCAGTCAGAGGCGGACGAAGGTGCAGGTGCAGGGATGAGGTACCGGGTGCGCTCCCTATGTCCGACCTTCTCTCCGGATGACGTGGTGGGAGACTTTTATCGCAACATTGAGGTAGGTGCAGATTTTTCACCGGGGATAACCGTGGGAGTACGCACTCCTGGGGTTGACCGCCAGTGTTAATTTAGCGGAGTCTCGGTGGCATTGCATCTACTATGAGTCACTCGCATTCAGCTTTCGTGCACCTTGCATTAGTGGTTGAGCTCGGTGATGATGGATGCGAGAATGTCGCTTTGCTCGGTTGCTCACCCTTTTTGGGTGTATGTTGATGCTTTCGTTTCTCGGTGCAAATCAGTGGGCATTGACCCCACCAAAGATCTTTTTTATGTTTGCTTCATTGTTCGGAAGGCTCCCTCAAGAAGCTGCTCATGGAGTTTGGAGCGACGGTCTTACGGGTCTTCAACTGAGAGATTCTCATCCTTTGGGGTAGTGGTGAAGATTGTGCCAAAACTTTGGTGGAAGAAATTTCTCTATTTTCACGCTGCTCTTACCGGACTCGCGGTCGGTACGAGCCCGTTACCAGAGGAGATTGACTTTGAGAATCCAGAGAAGTTTCAAGGGTCGGTGGAAGCTCCACCTGAGTTTTGGCGTCTATTAGATGGGCCCCAAACTAATCTCGATACAAAAGAGCGTATAAGGAGTCTATTCGTTCATGCTAAAGAGTAGGGTAGGAGATAGGTCACATATATGCGAAGTGATTTCTCTTCCTTACATTAATTTTATTAATCGTTTCTATTCTGTTTCCTTCTTTGCAGGCCCTATGGATGTCGAATGGGTGCTAAGGGGCATCGGGTCTGTTTGGGATTAGGCAAGTTTGGAGGCAGGTCAATCCACGACCCGAGTATGGAGCATACGTGGTCGCGACGCTAACAAGAAGAGGATTGTAGCCGAGCTTCTGGAGGCTAGCCGGTTCACTGAAGGATCGGGGGGCCACCATGGGGTGAGTATTGGTCGGAGATCTATCGGGAGCATCAACTCTCGGTCCAATAGTGGGTCCAAGCGAGGTACCGCCGTGCCATGACTAGTGAGCGGCTTCGGAAGCACATCAGGTCTGGGAAGACCTTCGTCAGATCCGGGACAATGGGTATCTCCTGCCCATCACGCAGCGGAGACGACCCACAAGCACCCCAGGTCAAGGAGTCCACGACTCTCAGCTCGACTCCCACTATGTAAGCACCAACGGTGGTTCTCGAGCTCAGCAGCTGGCGGATGCCCTCGAGATCGACTATGAGGGTGGCTTGGAGATGAGCGAGTAATTTTACAGGGTAAGAGCGCCTGGGTTGATAATTTTGTCTCTAACCACTATTTTTGAACGATGCAGATGGTGAAATAGTCGGTGTCCTCACTGGTTCGCATGTTGGCTGCGGAGAAGAGCACATGAGAGGCTACCTAGGCGATGAGCAAAACGGAGAGGCGGCTAGCCAAGGAGTGAGAGCGTTCACTTGGAGGGCCGATTCCGACGAGCTGTGCAAGAGCTGTAGGAGGCGAGGATCGCAGAGGGTCACACTCAGGAGGAGCTAATTCAGGAGAGGACAAGGGCTGAGCGTGAGAGCGAGCGACTGAGCGTAAGAGCGAGCAGGCGGAGCGCGAGAGCCAAACGACAGAATTGGAGCGAACTCGAGCTGACAAGGAGAAAATAGTGCTTGCCTAAGTGAAGAGAGCTTTGCAGATGGAGAGGGGAGTCACCCAGAAGTTGAGATCTTAGAGAGAGAAGATTTGGAGGTCCGTGAAAAAAGCATTTTCCAATATATATTGCTTTTCTAGGGAGGTGGTCAGTGAGATGCACCGTGGGGTATCTCTTGACGAAGAAGACTTCCAAAGGAGGATGGCTTGCCAAGTGGCGTCTGCGCCAGAGGTTGAGAGGGAGGCAAGACATTTTGTCGATCCCCCCTGAATACGTGGGTGATGAGGACGCTCGACCCGAGGGCTCATACGCTTCCTTGGCGATGCAGAATGAATTTGAAGCCGGTGAGCTGGAAAACATTGTGGTGACCTTCATGCCTGTGTACCACATGCCTGGGGTCCCATTCTTCTTAGAGACTCCTCCTGGCTTTAGTTCGGCTCCCGCCGGTGGTGCAAGCCCCAACTTTGTCCCCGGCCAAGACCTCGCTGCAGAGGCTTGAGTGGTGGTGATCGGGTTATTCTGATTATTTTAAGAGTCGTTTCTTGTTTGATTGTTGTCTTTTGTCGTCGTTCCTTGGTTGTGCTATTTAGTAGTCTCCAATGTTGAGCTACAAACTATGTACCCCTTTATTATTCTGAACCTGTGTAATACACTTATTTAAGTTTGCGTGTTTACATTACATGGGTGTGAAGTATCTACGTAGGTGCATAAAGTTCCAAGTATTGGACATGTCGTCGCCTTCAGCACCACCGAGCTTCACAATATTAGGACCTATAACCTCCCTTACTCGATAGGGGCCCTCCCATTTGGGTGTAAACTTTCCAGGCCCGCTCTCTGGGCGTAAGTTCCTTCGAAGTACCCGATCTCCCACTTGGAGAGGGCGTTTCCTTACCTTGGAGTTGTAATAGAGAGCAACTCGCTCGTGAGCAGCAACAAGGCATAACTTGGCGTCTTCCCTCCGCTCTTCAACGAGGTTCAGATTTTGGACGAGCTCAATGTTGTTGGTTTTAGGGCAGAAATTTTCAATTCGATATGATGAAAGCTCCATTTCTACAGGTAGCACGACATCACTGCCGTAGGTGAGCACATATGGTGTGTCTCTGGTGGCTGTCTTGTATGTGGTACGGTGATCCCACAAAATATGGAGCAGTTCTTCCACCCAATTTCCTTTGGTGTCATCCAGTCGTGTTTTCAACCCCCACAAGATGCTCTTGTTGGCTAACTCTGCTTGACCATTAGCCTGAGGGTAGGAGACATATATGTACCAGAGGAGAATACCATACTAGGCATAGTACGTCTGGAGATCCTGACTTTTGAACTGTGTTCCTTGATATAGCACAATGGTGTGAGGGAGGCTGAACCGACAAATGATGTGAGTCCACATGAACTTCGTAACTTTTTGGGTAGTCATGCCAGTTAGAGCATTAGCTTCTATCCATTTGGTGAAATAGTCGATAGTGACTATTAGATACTTTTTCCTTCCGGGGGCCTTGGGAAAAGGGACCGAGGAAGTCCATTTCCCACTGGGCGAAAGGCCATGAGCTTAGATTTCCTTGTATAGGTGTCGTGGGCGCCTGAGGAATCCGAGATGCTATTGGGCATTTGGGGCAGACCTTGACATATTCGTGAGCGTCTCGCCAAAGAGTAGGCCAGTAATACCCCTGACAGAGGAGGGTTTTTTCGAGACTCTGTGGGCCCATATGCATGGAGCAAGTATCTTTTTATTTGGTGGTGAGATTGAAGGGAGTGGCGGTGCAGGAGTGAGTGGGGGATCCTGCAAAACGAGAGGCAGAAAAGGGTACACGACAGGCTCATGTACCTGGTGAGAAATAGCATGCATAGGTGTGACAGTAGGCATATCATAGTGACCTAATTCAGACACAAAAAAGTAGCATGTTCATTCCCAGCACGCAAGATCAGTTTACCACTATGCACATCAATAAGTGCCTTGGCGATGGCGAGAAATGGTCAACCCAAAATCAAAGGCACATCCACATCCTCATTTATATCCAGAATAACAAAGTCAACAGGATATGTGAATGCACCTACATTAACAAGCAGATACTCTATAATACCCCTAGGATGCATAATGGAACGTTCAGCTAACTGAATGCTCATCCTAGTAGCTCTAGGTTCACCTAGGTCTAGCTTTTTAAACAATTTGTAGGGCATGACATTTATGCTAGCGCCTAGGTCCGCCAAGGACTTTCCTACATGCATGCTGCCAATAACAAGAGGGATAGTAAAATTCCCTGGATCTTTACGCTTCTCGGGCAGCTTGTTCTGCAGGATAGCAGAACACTCTTTGCTCAGCATCACTGTCGAAAGATCCCCAAGTTTCTTCTTGTTGGTGAGGAGATCCTTCATGAACTTAGCGTACTTGGGCATCTTCGACAGTGCCTCCATGAAAGGTATGCTGATGTTGAGCTGCTTCAACATTGCCATGAACTTGGCAAACTCAGTCTCCAGCCTATCTTGGTGGA